CTACCAGGTAAACTTACATAGGCTACTGCAGCAACAGACACACATTACAACAGTCACAATACACAACAGAAACAGCTTGACATTACAGTTTGCCACATTAGCTGCAGAATATGCTAACGCCAAGTTCAACAGGCAAGTGTTGGAAAAAAAAACAAAAGCTAAAAAAATGGCAAAAGTACAGGTTCCAAGTTTGAAGTCAGTAATTAATTTTGACCTAAAAAGACTATGAGCACATGGACATGTAAATGCAATAGACTGGGGACGCTGTTTCACTCATTACAAATTATAATAAAGTCCACTATAGAGCAGAGTCAGTCTTTGAAAATGTAATGTCAAATGCTGTTTCCATTTTCATTTTAAAATGGTCCTAGAATACTCACACAAGTATGTGAAAATGATTGCGTTTTCATTAAAATTTTTACCTAAATAACACATACGTATGTGGAAAATAATAATGTTATTGTGGGATTACATTTTCATTTTCAAGTTTGCATAATAATTTTAATTTAGTCCCCTATATGCTTCCATAGATTTGGAAATAAAATCCAATTTAAGGTGTGTGTAGATTAGAGGTGTTTCCTCCAGATGCTGCCTCCTTGACACATGCATGTGAGTGGTTAAGTTATGGCGTTTTCATATACATTACATTAGGGCTGAAGCGATTCATCCATTAAATCGATTAATAAAATGCGTCACTGCTTCCTTTAATCCATATAACTACAGAACAGTGTTTTGCAAGGACATTTATTACTGTTGCAAATGTGGAGGAAGAGAGAAAAAATAGCGAGGGACAAAGAAGAAAGCGTCCAAAGCATGGGATTATGTAAAGCTAAAGAAAACAACAACTCTAATGTTACTGTCCATCCACCGTAAAACGAAACTTATGTCGCCTCGGCAACAGCACGACGGCACCTGATCAGAAAGCAGCCGGTGTTCAGCCAGCGGACCACAGACAAGGTAACAATAACAGCAACTTTAGCATTTAACTGAAATCATAATTGATTGTTGAGTTGAAGGCTAGCCAAAGTAAGCAGCAGACCTCAGCAGAAAATGTACACACAAGCATTTGTTGTTCTCCTTTTTGGGCCGTGAGTTGTAACCTCACAGTCATGAGTTATCTGGGTGTCGGGGAGCTGCACCTTTTTAACTCACCGCCAGCTCTCTCTGGAGCTCAGACAATCCCTGCTATCTCCGTGTGCTAATCCATCCTTTCACCCATATTCTTTGTCTTTAGAATTCGTGTTTCACATTTCACATGTGTTTTCTTGACAAAACGTGATTTGAAGACCAGCATCGGGTGACACAGCCGCTGTCTGCTTCTGTAGTGTGTGTGACCCCCTATCACCGATCAGTCACGTAGTGTGAACACCGCATCGCAAAAAAATCATAATCACGATTATTTTGGTCAATACTGAGATCAGTTATTTAACACTGTTACTTATTGAAAAGGAAACATGCACTTATTGAACTTTTAAATTAATATATATGTATCATCACTAAAATCCGAAATAGCCCTTGAAATAAGAAATAGTAGCCCAACATTATTAACTTCAAACAGCAACTTAGATCACAAGAGGATGACAGCAACACTGCGTTTGCCCAAAAACTGACATAAATACAGAGGAGTCTGTAGCGTTTCTAGATATGCTGGTTGGTTGACTAAACTGCGTAACGTGTTATCATGTGCAGTGGACGAATAGACTCTGCCGACACACGACGCACACAGCAACAGAACAACGTGTAGCGTTTTTACAAGAGCAGCAACACTGAGAGCTTCAGTTTACACGCTGTTATTCAAAGAGACAAACCAAAGCTAAAAGTTAACTCACCCTGCGGTCACTATAAGGTTATTTTCTTCAATCAAGTTTCCCTCAGCACTCTCATAAAAAACTAAAATACGACCGGACTTCAGAGTAACTCCGCAGCGTTGTCTTCTGCTGTGTTGTCGTTGACCAAATCCAACCCACGTTGCATTCTGCGCATGCGCTCCTGCTTCTGGGAGACACTGGACAGTGTTTACCATGAGATTATAAATAGCGTGGTTAACCGTACCCGGTTATCTTGGTAATTAAAATGTGTTCAATTCAATCCAGACGTCTTTAAGGGTTTTAAGAGTGCAACCAGTCTGCAGAGTATAAGACAAAGAGCCAGTGAAGAAACGGGTGACTTTATGGGTATAATGCATCTGTCTTAGGGAGGAAGGGAGTAGGAGCCAACTGTCCTGAGATGAAGGCCTATCAAGGACGGTCAGATAAGAAAACCCTCTAATGAGCTACTTTCCCATGGGAACCTTCACCTAGCTGCAACATAATAAAATTATCAAACAACACACCGTGAAACATAGGCCTATAATAATACAGCAAACGGTAAAAGATAAAATTTCCATCACATATCCTACTTTTGCAATACATATATTATGAATTCTCCCCATGAATAATTGCACATACATTTGAATTTTTCTAGATGCACATTTGCATGACCACCACATGATTACCCACTGTGATTACAAAATGTACTTCAATTGTAAAACACAGAATACAGGAACATATAAACAGATTTCATAGGGCCCTAGAGTATAGAGGAAAAGTCCACTAGCCACTAGGATAATTTATGCAGTATCAAATGCTGTATGCATAAGCTAATAATGGTGACAAACAAGTTATAGCAGTTATAACCCACATTCATCTTAGCTCGAGCTGAACCAAACATGCCATAGCCCGGCTAACAGCAAGTTTTGGTTTTTTAGGGAGGGGTGAGAGCCACTGCTGTTAAGGAAAGGGGTCCGCTGGATTTACAACACAAGACAAAATGAGAGCCTCATTGCGAAACGGAAGTGGTACAGTAATCGTTTATCTTGATTATCTTGTTTTCATTATCGTTGGATGCCAAAATCATAATTGAAAATTCTGTTATAAGGTCGATTTTATATTCATCCCCGTTTGATCTCCAGTCTGCATGTCAAAGTATCCTTGGGCAAGATACTGAACCCTAATTTGGCAATTTGGTTGTGCCATCTGTGTGTGAATGTGTCTGTTTCTGATGGCAGATGGCACCTTATCCTGTGCCTCAGTGTATGAATGGGTGTGAAGGTGGTGAATGTGATGTAGCGTAAAAGCGCTTTGAGTGGACAGACAGACAGAGGTGGCTACATCATAGCCAAAATATCAAGTTTTTTTTTAACCCCTTTTTATTTTTTGCTGATCCGAAAGTTATCAAATCCGCAACTCAAAACAGTGATATCAGTGATAGTTTGTTAGCAGCTAACAGCAACATTTAAGGTGGATTGTTTTTTGCAAGTTACTCTACATTAAAAAAATGAACATTATCAACAGAATGTGAAGAAGTAATTGACGTTATGTCAAAAATATCTTTGTATTATGTTGCAGCGATAGCTACTGAAGTTAACATGCTAATGAGCTAGCCCCAGCCCGTACTGTCTAGTAATACCATAAACTCACAAAATGTGATTTCTTTCATTTGTTTGAATAGTTTATGCAGCAGATACGTGATGTCATTCAATCCATGTCTTTTTAGAGTTATTGATTTTTACTTATTTTTAATTAAATTTTTCAAATTTATTTTCCTGAAATAAAATAATTTGAGAGAAGAATATGACGAGGTTACCTTGGACTCTTGGTAAATTGGGGAAAACAGAAGCCCATAGGTCCCTGAACTTGACTCACTTTCACTAGGGTAATAGTGAGTCAATGAACACTCCTGTGAATCAGAGATGTGGCAGGTCTGCTGTAGGCCACATCGTTTTTTTAGACTTTGTTATAGTTTGACCTCTGGCCACTGCTGTGTCTGATCATGGTAGGCAATTTAGTTTAATTTATTTGGAAGCTAAGGACCGTTCTGACCAATGAGGTGAAGGCATGCAGATGGTGCAGTCTGTAAGTAGAGACCAGAGTTCAAATGGGACTGTGTAGGCTTATCTGTGTTGGCTGGTGGGAGTGTACATGTCTGGACAGAGATCGATTGTAACTGCGATGATTGATTAACAAAACAAAAGGGATGACAATCAGCCAATAAAATTATATGGTCGAGAATATGGCTGCAACTAATCTTATCTGCCAATAATTTTCTCAATTAGTTGTTTGGTCTATAAAATGTCAGGAAATTGTGAAAAATGTTGATCAGAGTGTTCAATGTACTGTTAGGGCTGCACAATTTGGAGAAAAGGTCATATTGTGATTATTGTGGACAATATTGCCATTTGTAATTTGGTTATAATGGAACAAATGGTACAATGAGTCTGCTTGCTTGATTATTAAGGAAAATTCGCAAAAAACTGACTTTGAAAATGTGTATTTCTCAACTTCAACAAAGTTAAACAATATTTATAACAATAACTAGTAAAACCGATGTTAAACAGAACAAGGGGAGCATGTTGCTCTAAGGAGGAGGCGGCTAGAAGCAGCAAATATTGGCGCACCGGCTCAATGAACATCCGTCCACTGCAGAGTCTCTATCCACAACCTGGAGGAGGAACTGTACATGAGTCTATTAAACAAAGAGTATATTGTTTAGTTAATAGTATACTGCTGTTATAACAATAATATATTAAATACTACATTCGTTATAATTCCATATAATAGTAAACTTTTTTACCACAAGTTGAATATTATATCCAGTTACCACTGTTTCATTTCTGTGGGTTTTTATTTATTTAATCCTTGTGCAAGCAAATGGCTGTACCTTGGTCTCTAATTTGTTAATGCTAAGTACTAACTTGTCAATAATCATATTGTTCAACATTTAATGATTTGCTGTAGCACATCAAACTTTTCTTTTAGCATCCCGCCTAGGGATGGGGATCGTTAATTTTTATTGATATTGATACCCTTATTGAGACTGCTTAACGATCCGATTCTTTATTGATACCACTATGAATACTTTACTATTATTTAGTGATGGTTATTTGATAAGACTAGGGCTGGGGATCGAGACCCGGTTCCAAAATTTCTCAAAACCCGAAAATCAATAAGGTTCGAGCTTATCGATACTGCTATCGAGACTTGGGGCTATGATGTAACGTATTGATAAAGTATTGTCTTTTTACTTGCGAAGGTTTTATTGCACGTAGTTATAGTAACGACCGTATCTATCATCAACTAATGTTACAGTAGTTTGGAGCTAACTTAACCCTCACCGTATTCCACCACGACGGTGCAGCCTCTCGCTCTGCTGCCGCTGTGTGTGTGTGTTTGTTTTTACTTTTGTTCTTTAAAAATTACTCAAACCGATTAATTGATTATCAAAAAAGATAAATTGTGCAGCCCTAGTGAAGATTTTTTTAGAAACGCCTTTAATGTAGTGCTTCATCAGGCTTATAAAAAGATATAACAAGCCACGGCTGAAATAAGACCTTAGAAGGAGTAATCAGTACAAACATCAGTCCATCTCTACATGAGAAAACTGAAAGCACTCTGGAGCAGTGGGGGAAAAATTAATTTCTAAAACTATAAATGCAGAAAACGAGTAAAGAGTAAAAAAAAGAGTTGATAAAGGAAAAGAATAAATCAAAATACTAGATGTTATTTGTTGTGGAAAATTGCAGTTTTCCAGGCGAGGGATTGCGCAAATAACGTTTGAGTTACAACCAACCGTTGTCTTTGAACAATTTATTAATAAAAGAGAATAAACAGAGAAGTACTACAACACAAATCAGCTGGACCAGAGGTTCTGTCTCCTAAGACAGTCACTAACGTCTGGCCCAGGGCAAAGGGATGCATAATCATTTACACAATCTAGGTTTCTATGTTTTGGGGAACAAAGATTGTCTCGGACTGGAACCGGTCAAGGTGAGGAGAGGAACAGCTAGTGACGAAAACAATAATAAAACATTACATTTATGACCTAAACCCTACACATGTTGACAGACTAGGATAATGAGTATAATAATAAAAGGAAAAGGTTGAAGATTAAAACTATATATAAGACATAATAACAATAATTGAAAAGTAGTACTATTGTAACTTTACCAACAATGCTGGCTACTAATGCAAGCACAGAAGATAAGTCATCAATTAAGGAACCCCGCTTAAAAAAATAACAAAGTAGTCAGGGTTGTCTGGCAAGAAAGTTGAACCTGGCTCAAACTTTAACAAAACGCTGTGTATTGTCATCCAGTAAGGCACTGCATTGGCCAATCAATACATGCAATTACATCATTACATTAGTTATTTAGCTGATGCTTTTATCCAAAGCGACTTATAAGAATGGGTACATTTACCCATGAGGATGCAACCCAAGAATTGCTAGAATCACTCAAGTACATCAACTTCAGAAAATACGGAGGATAATTGAATTACTTGAGTTGTAAAATCCCGTCTCATAGTATCAGACCGTGCAGTGCAGTGTTGTGGTGCCCAATAAGTCTTCAGACTCATGCACTTGTTACTCAAACTGGACTTTCTGGATCATATTTCACTGTCTCTCACCCATGCCAGAAGCAACATTCCAACACAGTCCCTGTGGCTGTTTTAGGGACATAAAGTACAAACGCTGATGAAACAAGAATGTCCTTAAAGATACAAGAAACTCAAGATTAATTAATAGGTGTTTAGTAATGGGTGTTGTCTCTCCATGAGCTCATAAGTAATGTCAACAATTGCTGTAAGTCCCATCTGTTGTTTCTTTACCTACATTTCTTTACCTTTATTTCCTCAAGGTGGAAGTTTGGGACAGTTTTGTGAAGTGTTAAATGGCTGTTATGCTACAAAAGGTTATTTGTGTGCTGAGTGAATATCAACTGAAACTGACACAAACAGGTTGAGCTGGATCATTCTTTTTGGTGTGTGTATCCTGTGTATTCCTACATCTACTAAAACTGATTTTAGATGGTGTACATGCTAGACATTAAGTTGTGAATCTCACTGTAAAAAAGAAATTTAGTCTGTGCAGATTCTTCTGAAGAATATTATTTCTGATTTCTCATTTCTGAAGATGAAGCAGTCAGAGAAAATGTTATAGTGATTCATAAAACGATCAACAGTGCAGTATGTCTTGCAGGAACGCCACGTGTTCTTTCTTCCCTCCACCCAGCCAACCACAACGTTCACTCGAAATCAACCCAACCCCATCTCTCTCAGCCCCTCCCCCAGCTAAATGTCTGTGTCACACTGCCTCTCATTCTTCCTTTCTCTTCTCCTCCACTGCCTGCTGGCTCGCGCATGTCCTATTGCTTAATGCGGCTGGGCTAAAGAGCAATCAGAAGATAGCTGTATTGAAAATAGAGCAGGTTGATTTTTAGCTCGAGAGTCCACGGAGTCGTGGGATGGAAAAGCGTCCGGGTTCTTTGTGCATAAACCCCCATGTGAGTCAGATGGCTTTTTCCTCTTTCCACCCTCTCGTATTTCCCATTTGATGTTCGTATCCTTCCTTTCTTTCCCAATGCTTCTGGTTACCTCTCTTGGATTCTGTCTGTACAGTAGCTCTCCCTGCCTCTGTTGCTGTGTCATTCGTGCCTTTGCTTTCTGCATGTGCCCCTGCCCCCATACCATAACACTGGCTGCTGATGCTGTCTTGTGACGCCTGAGCAGAAGTCATGGTGTGCTGAATGAGAATCAGGACAAATCACAGGATTTAGTCCAAGATGCTTTTTCGTGTGACACACATTAGAGGCACAACCACAGGGAATGTGTCTTAGGTGTGACTGCGTCATATGAATGATAGATTGAAATAACTTTTAAATTAGGCCTTCAGCCAGTGATGTTATACCTTAATATACCCTACGCTGCAGTCCAATACTGTCCTGACCTCCCTGTAGCTCATCTGTGAGTGTTTTGACTATAACTGGGATGATAAGCAAACTAAGGTCATGACACCTAATAACATAAAATATAACATTCAACAAAGACGATTAACCAAATGAAATCACAAATCACATTCCTGTTTGCAGTCAAAATGATCATCGAAGGTACTTTTACATTTATTATTACCTCTTTAGAATGGAAGAAAAAAGTCTTTGGGGAGATTAAAGTGGGTAGGCTGGGGTTGACTGATGGCTGAGTTAGCTTGAGCAGCTACAGTTTATCAGTGGTGGACAGTAATTATGTACATTTACTCATGTACTGTACTTAAGTACAGGTTTGAGGTACTTGTACTTGATTATTTTCTTCTCACGCTTTCTTCTCACTCTTTCCATTTCTACTCCACTACACCTCAGAGGGAGATATTGTATTTTTACTTAACTAAATTTATCTGAGCAGGGCTTGACAATAACAGTGGCCCGATGGCCTAGGGCCGGTAAAAAGTAACGTCGGGACAGTTGACCTAGCAAGTCACTGGCCCGATTGGGCCAGCGCAAAAACATTAGTATATGAAAAAAATTAGAAACTCAGTATCCTGCAGTTGCTTTGCAGCTCGTTGTCCAGTCCAGATTTGTAGTTACGTCATGAGTGGTTGTCAAATGTTGTTTCTCTAATCTCAATAATCCGTGTATGGTTTGTTCTTTCATTATTTCGTTTCTAAACCAAATCGGTTGTTTTTTGGTTTTTCTGTTTTTAAAACCAAAATGGAAAAACAGAAAAACCAAAAAACAGACATCTGTTTTGTTTTTCTGTTTTAAACCCATAACGGAAAACAAAGGAGCTGCGTTTTGTTCTATCTTTGACCGTTGTTGCATCCCTACAACCCGCATGGTTAAGGCCTATTGGCATTTGTACTGCACTTTAATTTTATATAAGGCTATTTCTTTTCAGGTCGCATCGCATCTCATGTCAACTGTGGGGAATATGATTGTAGAAGTGAGCACTACATTACAGAGCCTCAAACACTCAAAATTCTATGTCAGCATCAAGGATGCCTTTTTTTTGGGCTGATCTGAAGCAGCTGTTACCTTTAGCGATCAAAGAAAATACCCAAATATGTTTATAAAGGGTTTTTTTCTCGAGGCTACGGCCAGGGTGCGACCTCCTCTCCCTCGCCCTGTATGCTCCAGCCCCCTGCTCCCTCTCCGTTCACCCTACTATGGGTTGTGTTGCCAGTGGAACCGGCGCACTGGACGGTCAGTGGCCGTTCCCTCTGGCTGGATGAAGTCTGAGCTCCCAGTCCATGCAGCTGGAGGCTCAGCGCAGTGCAACTTAAATTCTTCCATCTTACAAAGAAAATAAAGGTCTGATCAAAACAGTGTACCCTAGAGAGGCTGAACGAAAATTACCCAACATTTTAATCCGTGTATGATTAGTTACTATACAGCTTGCTGAATTAACTAATAACAGTTCATGTTTGCTGTGTACCATTGGATGTACTGACAACTAGGCTATCACTGAATTAATTAGAGAAATCTTAAAAACCGGAGGATTTTCAGGTAAGCGTTCCTGTTCCAGTTGCTAGTGAGTTACAAACTGAACATTGAGCCAATATTAAATAGCTGCAGTCTCGGGTACTGCAGCTATATTATATTGTCCTGTTTTTCTAACTAAAAACCCACTTATGTTGATGTTCAAGCTCAATTTAATTACATTTAATCAGGCATCTGTGTATCTGCTGCAGATTTATCAAGTGTAACACACAAAGCTACACAAATCGGACTCATTAAATAGCCTCAAAATCAATGTTCCATTTTGGTTTTTAAAACAGAAAAACAAAAACCTAAGTCTGTTTTTTTGTTTTCTGTTAATCTGTTTTTCCGTTTTGGTTTTAAAACGAAATCATGAAAGAACGAACCACACATGGATTCTCAATGAAGTGGCAACCTCTGGGTCTGAAAGTGAAACCATGCAGATGGAACTTAAACCTGCATTCTCTCTAACGGCCAACAGGGGGTGAGTCTGCTGGTTGCAAACAGAAGTCCGGTTCCATTAGAAATAATGGCAAAATGTTGCTACTTCTCAGCTAAATTATTATCAGTAAAGGCTTTCCTAATGAGTTTATGCTCTAAGGCACTAGTTTCAAGTCTTCTTCAACACAACATGATGTTCATTGAGTAAATTACGCTCATCTTAAGGGGGAAATAGACGATAATGCAGCGTATGCTTTTGGGCGGGACTACCCTGTGATTGACAGGTCGGTACCATGGCGTCCTGTCAGTCACAAAAAACAAAACACCAACCTGTCAGTTGGTTAGACAAAACAAGCGTTGTGAAGGTGTTGCTTTGGATAATTGTGACAGCATTTCTCACTAATTTCGAAATTGATTAATGGCGAATATAATCAGCACATTAATCTATTGTGAAAATAATCATTAGTTGCACTCCAATACAAAATAGTTAAAAATGAGCTGCCCTCTCAACAATTATGACTGTAATATCCTGGTTTTATATTAATGTTATGAGTAAGAAGAATAATTTAATATATAATAGTAGCTATCCATCTTTCTGTATTTAGTACTTTTTAATACTTTACTTTTCTTCTTCTTCTTCTTCTTATCCTATGATACAAGGATACTTTTAATACATATACATATTTTTACACATGCCATTAACACTGTCCTTTGCTGCTTAATTTTTATATAAATATTGTTGTACAATGTAATCACACCAAACAGCTGATCTATTATGTATTCATTCATCATTATTTATTCATAAACACATTTGTTGGAAAAACTCTTCATTGAGAAAAGGGGGGGGGGGGGGGGGTTGATTTTTTTGTAGCTTCCGTCTAGCTTTTCTAATTAAATAATTTGCATTATAATGTTTGGTTGTTCTTCTTCTTCATAAGATATATTTTTAAATTGTGATGACCAACAAATTGTATTTTTATTGTTAACAAAAAAAACATCGCAAAATACTGTTTGAAATACAGTGAATGAGAGAAATTGTGTTTGTTTTTTTTTCAAAGATGGGTACTGAAATTCGATTTTAAACGGGACAACCTCTCCAAGATTACTTGAGTTGTCCACAACTACGTTTGTTACTGTAAAGAAGTGCATCAAAACCATTACATGCAAAGCGCGCTTGCTTGGCTAATAGCCAGAGGTAGGTAGAGTAGCCAAAAACTGTACTCAAGTCAAACTACTGTTACTTTGCAAAAACAAGTACTCAAGTGGAAGTGAAAGTGGTCATCAAAATAACTACTTGAGTAAGAGTACAAAAATACTTACTAAAAAAAGTACTTGAGTGACTTAGTGAGTAACTCAAGTAATAAACATAAAAAACATGTGGATGTGACTAGAATTATTTCAGATGGTCTTCCTCGGGTAAAGGTAAAGAAGTGAACATACACTTGTATTTATTTGTGATGAAATTACAAGTCATCATCTCCTGATTAAATAACCTGCCACATTTACACCAGGGCAACATTCCCAGTGTGTATCCATCACGTGTGAGTACAAAACATTACATTAATATTATAGTCTCTTAGTATTCCAATAAATAAAGATTGTTTACGAATAAAAATATATATATTTCTTGTTGTCTCATATTAAATTATGATTTGCAAACAAATCAAATTAGGAGATAATTCTGTGATGTTTCATAATTTATTCCCTACAGGTGTGTTCTTCACTTTTACCAGAGGAAGATCATCTGTGGTTGAAACATTACATCAGTCACATGCACATGAAATATGAGAAGTTTGTCCTTTTTGTGTCTGCATAATTTTGCCTGTCTTCATCAGGCTACACCAATGAGTATGACTAGTTTAATGCACACTGCTCGAACACTGTTAGCTTGAATATTTACATTAAGTCGGAAAACGAGGAGTTTTTAAGCATGATGTGCTGTGTGTGTAGCTTAACATTAACACAACAGACACTGCTCTCTGTCAGTTCAGTGTCAGCACGGTGTAGCCTACTCATTTCACAACCGAATACCCATCCCAGGGCGTCAGATACCAACGCTGTGAGAAAGCCTGACGAGGCGTTGGTATCGGATGGCTGGGATGAGCCCAGGCTGGCTGCACGGTGTGCTAAATTTGCTAAAGTAGAGATGTTTCTCTTAAACTACTCAAGAGTAAAAGTATGATGCATTAAAAGTACTCTGACAAGTACAATTTACTCAAACTTACTCAAGTAAAAACTTACAACAAGCTAAAACAAAAGCTGTCTGTAATGGTTTGCCATAAATCTCAAAATTTGGCAATTACTTAGCTGCTGGCTGAGACAAACCAGCCATTTTCTGAAGTTAAAGACAGCCAGGCTGACATAGGAACTATATAGCTAATATGCACACTTCAATATTAGTTTTTTTATTATTATTTATCACATTGCATATTTTCCACATAAGGCCTATTATTAAATTTTTTATTAGCTTGTAATAGTGACATAAAATGAACAACAAAGACTATTAAATCGTTAATCTTATTTATTTGTATGACAATTAATCGAGTTGCATGAGATCAGTATCTCAATTTTAGTAATTACCGTAAAACTTTGATTAATAGCCCGGGCTTTTATTTGCTAAAATCAATGAATTGACCCTGCCTAAATTTGGGACAGGCGTCCATATGGGACAGGCCTTTAATTCCTTTCACACAAAACTGAAATGGGCTACTATGAAACAGTTTATTTACAGAATTTCAAACGGTATGAATATTACTTTCAAATAATATCAATAAACATCATTCATTTTAGCTAGCCCCGACAGATGGCTTATGCGCTTTCATTTGTAGGCAGCAAAATAACTAAAACAACAACAGGGTGCAGGATGAGACAGAAGTTAGCAGACAGAAAGCGATGGACTTGACAGGATAAATTTTGAAAATATATTTATGTTAAAATCGTGTTTGTCCAAAAGTGTGTTTGCTAAAAGTGTAGGTGAACGTATATATTTATAATGCGTAGCCAAAAATACTAGACAGGCAGTGAGTAGCGACTATGTGATTCGTTTCTGTAACGCGCAGGGATCTACCTTGCGCCTATTTCACTCTTAAACGCTCCAAAAAATAGATCTGTGTGAACCGGAAAATGATTTATGAATACAACCGACCATAATCTCCTACCCTGCCGCGCTGTTAATCGTCCAAAACATAGTCGGAGTGGCGATCACGAGTAACGGGATTAACCCGGTTGGCCGGTCGCTCTGTGGCCACTTTGAACAGCCCCGTTCCTGAAAAACAAGAGCGAGATGCGCCGTCAGCAGCGGAATCGGTAAGACAGAAGACAACAGGGAAAATTCAAGGAGTTTGTGGGTTTGGCTAACGTTAGCCGGCTTTTTAGCTAAAGCTCTTCTTTTTATTAGAACAAAATCAAGTTTTCATGAAGCCGATGCTCTCGGCAGTGTCACATTTGTGCACAGATCAATCACAGCCTGGATGGATTAGGATTTTTAAAAAAGCTTGATGTGATTCAACAAAATGTTGAACTCAGTGTTGTGCATAAACAGTTATGATTATTGACGAGTTAGTAGCCTGCCCAAAATCAAGGTTGGAGACTTTCATGTAGCCTACAGCATTTTTCTTGCACAAAGTTAATGAATAAAAGACAACCCCAACCTGAAGCAGCTGTAATTTGAATTAATATTATAGCCTACTAGTGGTAAGTTATATTCTATTAAATGAAATTCTATTGAATATAGTAACATAATGAATATATTAATATCAAACTTTTAGTTTACTATTAAATTAACAATATACTTTCAATTTAATGTTATACTAATATAGTCATTTAGACTAGTTCCTCCTCCAGGTTGTGCCTGTGCTACACCGCCTACACTACTTACATTATTCATCACTTAGTTTATTCTCTACATCTTTGTTCCTTCCTGGCCTATTTGAATTTTGTTGTATTGATCAAGTGGATGGTGAAAGTTATCACACATATCATTGCAGGCAAGCTCACATTATCTAGTTTATACCAACTAATACACAAAATTACACTGTGTTTCACATGATTTGCTGTAATATGGCATACATAAACGTCATAGCTTATGTAAGACAGTTGCTTTTCGCAGGAAATCTGACCAGTCCTTCACATAGAAAACTGTTGGCCCATACAGGCTGTTATAGGCAACTGAGAAAGTTGGTGAATGCCTCAATTTGTAGGTGGTGGTACAACCGGATGACGTAAAGGCAATAAATATGTTATAAATATACTTAAATTCCTTTTAAAACCTCAAAAATATCCCTTTTAAAGGTGTGTGGCTGATTTAATCTGTTACAGCTCAAAGTGGTGCGGCAGTCTTAAAATATGTTGAAAAGGTCTTAAAAAGGTATTGAATTTTACTGCAGGATTCCTGTATATACCATGTTTATGAAAAGCTGTTTTGATTCTTTTGAGCGGTGGACCCTTACAGACTAAAGGAATATAAATAATCAAGGAACGGATACATTTGGACTTAATGAGTGCTTCAAATGTAACGGGAGTCGTCACTTTTCTTTTTCTTTTCATCTCTTGTACCGTGCAGGTTACACTGGTAAATCTATAAGAATTAGACTTTGGAGCTTGAACAATTGAATTGTGGAGAATCTAACTGATCTAACGATGTGTAGCATGTCCATACTGACATATTAATCATACGTTTAAACATGTGTAATATAATGTGTATTAACGAGCTAAGCAGCTTAGAAGCAGCTAAAGTGGGCGACCCCACGGTGTTTAAAGTTTGTAAATTCCAAGCACTCAATCCGCTCTGGAATTTGAGGTCCCTGAGCCACATTGGCTCTATATGTACAGTAACTGTGTGTTTTCTTGGTTTGACACCTGGAAATTGGTGTCGCCTTATATTTAAGAAGTGCCAACAGCCCTAATGCAGTTAGGACTCATTTGAAATGAAGGGAACCATCATCACTGAAACCTTTGGCACCAGTTTAACACAGTTGGATAAGCTACAGAGGGTGTACATGACATATTGTGACATCAGCCATTGGTACACACTGTTGATGGCTGAAGAGAAGCAATAGACCTTTTTCACTGAGGACATTTTGACATGTCACAGTAACAAAAGCAAAGGTATAAATAATCAAATGAATGTTTTAGTTTTGGGGGTCCTGGTGTTATGCATGTACATTTCCCACCTCTGGAAAGATGTGTCAGCATGTCTTCTTTGTGTAAAATACAAAACATTTGTTGTGTTTTCATGCTACAGCATCTGAATATTTGGAAGGCCCAAGTAAGTATGACCTGTGGGTGGGTTTGTATTGAAAAATTTTGATAATAATGCTTTACAGACTCATTACTAGATCTCACCCTCTCTTCTGTCCTTGATTTCTAGGAGTTATACTATCTGAGAATGCAAAGGAGCAGAGAAAAGATGGAGAGAAAAAGGATGGAAGAACAGAATCCGGTACATCTTTTGGCTCTATATGAAACTGAAACGAGTTTATTTAGAACATTCTCATTCTGTGGGGGTGGCGATGGCCTTTGGTGTGAGAGACTCGGGTTCGAATCCACTGTGAGACACCAGTGTGTCCCTGAGCAAGACACGTAACCCCTAGTTGCTCCAGAGGCGTTCGACCTCTGACATACATCGGGTCAATGGGCCTTTGGATAAAAGCGTCAACTAAATGAATAAATGTATAATGTGTATAAATGTAGTTGTTGAAAAGCAGAAATAAATACAGTGAGGAAAATAAGTATTTGAACACCCTGCTATTTTGCACGTTCTCCCACTTAGAAATCATGGAGGGGTCTGAAATTGTCATCGTAGGTGCATGTCCACTGTGAGAGACATAATCTAAAAAAAAAAAATCCAGAAATCACAATGTATGATTTTTTAACTATTTATTTGTATGATACAGCTGCAAATAAGTATTTGAACACCTGTCTATCAGCTAGAATTCTGACTCTCAAAGACCTGTTAGTCTGCCTTCAAAATGTCCTCCACTCCATTTATTATCCTAAATTAGATGCACCTGTTTGAGGTCGTTAGCTGCATAAAGACACCTGTCCACCCCATACAATCAGTAAGAATCCAACTACTAACATGGCCAAGACCAAAGAGCTGTCCAAAGACACTAGAGACAAAATTGTACACCTCCACAAGGCTGGAAAGGGCTACGGGGAAATTGCCAAGCAGCTTGGTGAAAAAAGGTCCACTGTTGGAGCAATCATTAGAAAATGGAAGAAGCTAAACATGACTGTCAGTCTCCCTCGGACTGGGGCTCCATGCAAGATCTCACCTCGTGGGGTCTCAATGATCCTAAGAAAGGTGAGAAATCAGCCCAGAACTACACGGGAGGAGCTGGTCAATGACCTGAAAAGAGCTGGGACCACCGTTTCCAAGGTTACTGTTGGTAATACACTGACGTCATGGTTTGAAATCACGCATGGCACGGAAGGTTCCCCTGCTTAAACCAGCACATGTCAAGGCCCGTCTTCAGTTTACCAATGACCATTTGGATGATCCAGAGGAGTCATGGGAGAAAGTCATGTGGTCAGATGAGACCAAAGTAGAACTTTTTGGTCATAATTCCACTAACCGTGTTTGGAGGAAGAAGACTGATGAGTACCATCCCAAGAACACCATCCCTACTGTGAAGCATGGGGGTGGTAGCATCATGCTTTGGGGGTGTTTTTCTGCACATGGGACAGGGCGACTGCACTGTATTAAGGAGAGGATGACCATGGCCATGTATTGCGAGATTTTGGGGAACAACCTCCTTCCCTCAGTTAGAGCATTGAAGATGGGTCGAGGCTGGGTCTTCCAACATGACAATGACCCGAAGCACACAGCCAGGATAACCAAGGAGTGGCTCTGTAAGAAGCATATCAAGGTTCTGGCGTGGCCTAGCCAGTCTCCAGACCTAAACCCAATAGAGAATCTTTGGAGGGAGCTCAAACTCCGTGTTTCTCAGCGACAGCCCAGAAACCTGACTGATCTAGAGAAGATCTGTGTGGAGGAGTGGGCCAGAATCCCTCCTGCAGTGTGTGCAAACTACAGGAAACGTTTGACCTCTGTAATTGCAAACAAAGGCTACTGTACCAAATATTAACATTGATTTTCTCAGGTGTTCAAATACTTATTTGCAGCTGCATCATACAAATAAATAGTTAAAAAATCATACATTGTGATTTCTGGATTTTTTTTTTTTAGATTATGTCTCTCACAGTGGACATGCACCTACGATGACAATTTCAGACCCCTCCATGAGTTCTAAGTGGGAGAACTTGCAAAATAGCAGGGTGTTCAAATACTTATTTTCCTCACTGTATGTATTCCTTCTTAATTATTGTTTGTCATTTGTACTGGAAGAATTAAACATACATTAAACAAGGCATCTAGTGGATAGGGGGGCATGTTACTGTGTTATGCATACTAAATTCAAATCCACTAAGTGTGTCTGTCTTTGTGTGTGTGATTACACCTTCATTTGGTGTAGTGTGAGAAAAGGTTGAGGGTGTGTGTGGCGACATGCAACAGAGCGGACTACTCAAAGCTGGCCCCCATTATGTTCGGGATCAAATCCCACCCTGATGAGTTTGACCTGGAAGTCGTGGTGCTTGGGTCACATCTCATTGATGACTACGGGTAAGACCAACTGGCACAACAGCATCCTTCTGAAAAGCTTGTTATAGACGTCCCAGAACAATCAATTTGTGCATATATTGTTATGCACTTGACAAATCAGACCTGCATTCATTATGAAACTCTACTTCTAATATGTGTTGTCCCCGCTCTGCAGGAACACTTTTCGTATGATCGAGCAAGATGACTTCGACATCGGCTCCAAGCTCCACACCATTGTGAGAGGAGAGGATGAGGCAGCCATGGTGGAGAGCGTTGGTCTGGCACTTGTGAAACTCCCTGACGTCCTACAGAGGCTTCGCCCTGACATCCTGGTAGTCCATGGTGACCGTTTTGACGCGCTGGCTCTAGCAACTGCTGCAGCACTGATGAACATTAGAATACTTCACCTGGAGGGAGGAGAGGTGAGGAGGCAGGGCATGAGAATTTAAGAGAAGACTGTGATTAATTTTGTCATACCTTTTTTATTTTATGTTGCACTACATATGTATGTATAGTAGGGCTGAACAAAAAAATCTAATTTAGATTTTTCTGCCAGATATTGTGATTACGATTTGATTTGCTATTTAATTATTTATTTAGCTATTTTTAAGTTTAGCTTAAGTTTAAAATTCACTGCCTGTCTATTTTTGACAGAAGCAGCACAGAGCAGATGAATCGGAAAGGAAGTCAGACATACAACGGCATAGAGAATCCGGTTGATTTTCAAGATAAAACACCCTGTGCAGACTCCCGATCATATATCAACAATTAACACAGTTAAAACAGAGAAAAATATAAACAATTTAACTACGTAGCCTACTTAATCATGATAGAAGCACAAAAATCAAGGACAGCTGAACAAATTAACAAATTCTGAACAAGTCAGCAATATCAGGAAGGCAAAACGCTCTTATTCTGAAATGCTCCATGTGAATATGTAACGTCAGCCTGAAGAGAGCAGAACGGAGCTGTTATCTGTAGTTGAAGCACACAAAATTACAAATTAACAACACTTCAACAACATAGGGCGGGCGAAACGCTCTGCTGCTAAAACACTTAAGTGTGAGTTGACGCCGAACACAACCGCGGCACAGCCACTGCCTGTGTCTGTTTGCCTATCCACGGTTTCCTCCAGTTTTGTTTGTTGTTGTAAAATGTTCACGCCCTGTGCCCGCTCTGATTGGCGAGCAGGTCTGTCACGCAAGGATGACAACAGAATGAATTTGTAACTGAATTGACTGTTTAAAATGGGTCAGATGCGCTGTATAATTAAACTACATTTTAATCGGCGTCTTCACAATTAGCTAATTAGCATTCTTTCAAATTGCAATTTCGATTTAAAAACGATTAATCGTTCAGCCCTAACATATAGTGTTGTACAATTTACAGTGTATGCGTTTATACCTTTTCTTACTTTTTACCTTTTTAAAGTGGCACAGAATAAAAAATTTTAAGCCAACATAGTGCATAACAACTCCTTAATTTAACTGACAAATGATCTACACAGCAGTGGTGTGTTTTTTGAAAAAAAAAAAATAGAAAATGGCTTGACCATATAACTAAAAAATTGCACTGTATGTACATTGCACATCCTAGTTTAAACACTAGTTGTTGCTGACATCTTGATTAACTACTACACAACAGAAAGACACATGCATCACTTCACACACAACACACACACCCACCAGTCTGCTCAGGGAATACATGTGGAAGCGTTTCAAATCTTACTCGAAGAGACACAGTCCATCCTGATCGACAGCCGGTTAGCTTACCAGCAGCACTGACTGGACTACAGGAGGTAACTCGGGTGTTGTCGGAGAATCAGCTTGTCTTTTAGATGCAAGAAGTGTCACTTGGTTTTATTTTTGGTGTCCAACTTTTATATTGAAAGTCCGAATAGAGTGACTAGTGACTGGGTCTGTTCCCATCTACCTAAACTCCATAATACAAGCATATGTTCCTTCTCAGCCAATGCGCTCCTCCAACGAAGGCTGCCTGGCTCTGCCATCCCTACACACAAAGCAATCTCAGTCCCAGCTCTTTTCATCTGTGACACCACGATGGTGGAACGAGCTACCACATGCCATCAGAGCAGGGCGTCCCTCTCTAACTTCAAGAAGCTCTTGAAAACTCCTCTCTTCCAAGAACACTTTCTCTTACAACACCTCTAATCTCTAAACTCTAACATGCACTTCCTGTGCTCTTCTTCTTCTGTCTTCTTACAATTCTCTTGTATTGAGTGCACTTTTTTGTTAACTCTTACTTCTTTCCCTAGGTATTTACCCCATTGATGCTATACATGCTATTAACTCTTACTAGTATGTATTGTCAGTTGTAGCTCTCTTGCTGTATTGATGCTTTGTTGATGCTTGTATGTTGTTTCTCAAATGAAATGAAGTGTCTGCCAAATGAGTTGATGGTTGAACTGTGGGTTTGAATTCATGTACTAAAAGACATGGTTCCTTGATTTAAAAGTGAAGTGGCCACAGACTTCTTATATTTTTCTGTATAAGGGCCACAATCAAAAACTTTTGGCCACCCCTGATGTACAGAGTATAGATTTGTTTTAATTCTTTTACAGTCAGTTTTTATATCCGACGCACATGTGTGTAAGACTTTGTGGTGTGTAACAACATTGTTGTCATTTTTACCAACTGACAAAAAACATACATCTCTTCTCTCCCTTGCTTCGTTTTTCCAGGTGAGTGGTACGATTGATGACTCGATTCGCCATGCCATCAGTAAACTGGCCCACTACCATGCCTGCTGCACACGCATGGCGGAGCAGCACCTCATCGCCATGTGTGAGGACCACTCTCGCATCCTGCTGGCTGGCTGCCCTTCATATGATAAGCTGCTGTCAACTAATCACAGAGATGACTACATGGATATTATCAAGAGCTGGCTGGGTACGCGGGGACACCGGCACGGGACAGAAATATAGTGGGAGACATCAGAGTTTGATTGAATGTCAGTTTGGTGTCTGTTCGTGTTTCAGGTGACAAGGTGAAGGACGGTGACTACATAGTGGCTTTGCAGCACCCAGTTACCACTGACATCCAGCAGTCCATTAAGATCTATGGGCTGATGCTGGATGCCCTGCTCTCCTTCAACAAAAAGACCCTCATCCTCTTCCCTAACATAGATGCCGGTTAGTTTCACTTACTAGTCCCTTTAGTTCCTTCTTGTTATTCCAGGCTATATTTTCTTCTATGTGTGATTGTCCAAGTAAAACTAGGATCACAAGCATTTAGGGTTTTTTGAATTGTTGTACCGTTGTGAAATTTTATTAACTGAAGTGTCTATGTCACTTGGCCCGTCCCTTCCTATGTAATCAGGAAGTAAGGAGATGGTGCGCGTGATGCGAAGGAAGGGCATCGAGCAGCACCCCAACTTCCAGGCAATGAAGCACATTCCCTTTGAGCAGTTCATCCAGCTGGTGTCCCACGCCGGCTGCATGATCGGAAACAGCAGCTGTGGGGTACGAGAGGCTGGGGCCTTCGGCACACCTGTCATTAACCTGGGAACAAGGCAAACTGGCAGAGAAACGGGTGGGTTTGACGGGAAACAAGATTATAGATACCTGCTGCCATAGTCGTGGTCCTGATTTCCTGCCAACGTTGTTTAAACATTTGATTAAAAAGTGTGTATTTGCATAACACTGACTCTTTAAAACTAAGTGATTGTTTCAACATTTACAATTTTTAGTATGTAGAACAGCCAGGAAGGCTAATAGAAGCACAAAAATCAAGGACAGCTGAACAAATTAACAAAATCTGAACAAGTCAGCAAAATCAGGAAGGCAAAACGCTCTTATTCTGAAATGCTCCATGTGGGATAAGTAACGTCAGCCTGCAGAGAGCGAACGGAATGGGCTCACAGACAGCCGTAATCCGTAGTTGAAGCAAACAAAATGACATATTAACAACACCTCAGAAACATAGGACAGGCTAAACGCTCTGCTGCTGAAACACTTCAATGTGAGTTGACGCCGGGAAAAAACGCTGTAGAACAGCCATTACATTTATCTTGACGCTTTTATCCAAAGCGACTTACAATTGCTATATATGTCAGAGGTCGCACGCCTCTGGAGCAACGAGGGGTTAAGTGTCTTGCTCAGGGACACAATGGTGGATGGGTTACAGTGGGAAACGAACCCAGGTCTCCCACACCAAAGGCAAGCATCTTATCTATGCGCCATCTCCACCCCAGGAAGGCTGTGAAAGCAAATATTATTCTGGTAAATGAACCTGCCTCAGGTCGTTTATCTGACATTTCCCTCTCTGCCAGGTGAAAATGTTCTACATGTCAGAGATGCCGACACTCAGAGTAAGATCTACCGCGCTCTGGAGCTGCAGTTTGGAAAGAGATACCCCTGGTATGACCAATGTATTGCCTGTCTGTCTCATTGAGTCTTTGTTTTCCAGTTTTTCTGTTGGTGATCCTCTTTTCCTTTTTTCTTTCTTGTGCTGAAAGAATTTGTTCTTTACTCTAAGCTTACATTCTTTTTGTGTACATTATTAGATGTAAGTTTTAATAACGAGTGTAAGCTGGTGGTGGGGATGCTGAAGTGTGCCTCTAAGCACAATGTAGTTACTGTTTCTGCTTTGCTCTTCAGACCAGTTATTTATTGGCAAGATTGTTCGGTCAACTGAATCAGGCACAGGTTTAGATTACTACCCTGATTATCAGACAAAGTCTTTATTGTACCTGGATTAATGTAAGGCAGTCCAGTGTTTATAGTTTTTAAACACTGTGGGAAGTATGGTTTTAGATTACATAAACATGAATGAAGGTTGCATGCACCATGTAGATTAATGAACACAGATGTATTTCTGTTTCCCGTCAGCTCTAAGATATATGGCGATGGTTACGCAGTGCCTCGTATTCTCAAGTTTTTACGTACCATTGACCTGAATGAGCCCCTCCAGAAGACTTTCTGTTTCCCCCCGGTGAAAGACTCAATCTCCCAGGACATTGATCACATCCTGGAGAGACAGAGCGCTCTGGCTGTTGACCTGGGAGGGACCAACCTCAGAGTGGCTATCATCTGCATGAGGGTAGGCCTGTTTTAAAAACAAAACAGAAAAATATAGATTTTTATATTTAATTTGTCCGATTTGTGTAGCTTTGTGTGTTACACTTGATAAACCTTCAGCAGATACACTTGGGCGACAGCGGTGCCTGAGTACATCAAATGGTACACAGCAAACATGAACTGTTAAGTTCATGAACTGTTAAGTTCATGTTTGCTAGTTAATTCAGCGAGCTGTATATTAACGAATCATACACGGATTAAAATGTTTGTAAATTTTTGCTCATTATTTCAATAACACAGCTTGCTGGGCTCATTTTGGAGTAAAGCTCTGCTTTAAAACATGGTATAGACGAGCACTTAATGGCAAATAAAGAGGTTTTTATTAATTAATTTCAGGCATTGTTTATTCCTATTATTATTATTATTATTATTATTATTATTATTGTTATGCGTAAAGTCCAGTCCAGTGCACCGGTTCCACTGGCAACACAACCCATAGTAGGTCTACCGGGAGAGGGAGCAGGGCACTGGAGCGTGCAGGGCGAGGGAGAGGAGGTCCCAGGACAGTCGGTGTGCTGCAGACGGTCGGTGATCCTTCCCTCTGGCTGGATGGAGCCCAGCGCTCCTGGTTTATGCATGATCCATGATGATACAGAAAAATAGAAATTAATGGAAAAATAGCATCTTCTCAACATTTTTGAGCCCCCCCCCCCCCCTAAAATATCACTATCAGCTTATGTCTTATTAAGAGGAGCTTAAGCTCCCCCGTAGTTTGGACCCTGGCCGTAGCCTCGAGAAAAAACCCTAGAGAAACGTATTTGGGTATTTTCTTAGATGCTTAGGTAACCAGCTGCCTCACATCTGCCCAAAACAAAATGCTACCTGGATGCTGACCTACATAATCAATAATTGACTGGAAATAGGATAACGGCCAAGTGTTTGAGTGGCTTGCAGCCAAAGCAATGAATCACAATACATTTTCTTTAATTTCTTTTTTCGTATGTGGCTATAATATAGTGCTAACTTCTACAATCATATTCGCCACAGTCACTATGAGATGTGATGCAACTTGAGAACAAATAGCCTATTTGTTTTGTGTGTCACCAATCTGGGGTCGGAGGCAGACCACAGCTGTTGGAAACAACAGGCGCACATGTACAGCAGCCAGTTAGTTTGAAAACCAGTAGAGATAAAACACTGGTCATAGAACAAAACACAGCTGCTTTGTTTTTCTGTTTTGGTTTTAAAACAGAATAACCACAAAATGCCTTGTTGATTCGGTTTTGAGACGGAATAATCAAAGAATGAACCATACATGGATTATTCTCCTCTGATATTCTTCCTTTTTTTTCCTTTTCCCCTCAACCACTCTGTCTCTCTCCTCTCCCTTCACTACTCCCCTCTCTGTCCAGGGTGACATAGTAAAGAAGTATACTCAGCCCAATCCAAAGGCGTTCGATGCCAGGATGAAGCTCTTATTAGAAATGTGTGCAGATGCCATGCGGGACGCCGTCGACCACAACTGTAGAATACTTGGCGTTGGTATGGGAAAACAACACGCATTCTTTAATGACAAACCACTGAGATGCTGACAAACACATCAGAAAACTATCACCTCATAGCTCTTCCTCCACATCTTAGGAGTGTCCACGGGTGGGCGCGTAAACCCACAAGAAGGCGTGGTCCTACACTCCACAAAGCTGATCCAGGACTGGTCCTCAGTGGACTTGAGAACACCCATCTCCGACGCCCTGCACCTTCCCGTCTGGGTCGACAATGATGGCAACTGTGCTGCGTTGGCTGAGAAAAAGTTTGGTCACGGCAAGGGAGTGGAGAACTTTGTCACTGTCATCACAGGAACAGGTGAGAAATCAGGATCTTCATTCATCCAATCATTTGGTCATTGATTAGCAGTGTAAGCAGGGTTGATGTAGGTATATAAAGTAGTTATTAAAGTTATTTAAAAGAGCAACTATTATTAAGTATTATTATTTAATACATACATTTTGTATTATAAGTTTCTGAAAATGTTTTTTTTTTGTAGTTCCACATAATGGTTGATCAATGTAGATTATCAGTGTCGCTATTCAAATAGCAGTCTGAAAATGTTTTTTGAATTCTTCAGTTACTTGCCTAAGTAGGAATGAATAAGGAATTTCATACTGTCATAGTATATTTTTTGACATACTAAACGTGTTTAGAGTGTGTCAATCTGTAAGCCTTGTGTCATGAATCAAAGCAAATTGGGATCACCATACACTTGATAGAAACCTTACTGACAAGGTGATTCTGCTGACTTCCTTTTAATTACTCAAATCAGTTGCTCATTTACACTGACAATCTGAGGATGTAAATATCTTGACTCTGTGTAGGTATTGGAGGAGGGATTATCCATCACAGTGAGCTGGTCCACGGCAGTACCTTCTGCGCTGCAGAGCTGGGTCACATCATGGTTTCATTAGAAGGCCCAGAGTGTTCGTGTGGCAGCAGAGGATGCATAGAGGCCTACGCATCCGGCATGGCCCTGCAGAGAGAGGCCAAAAGGCTGCACGATGGTGAGTGTTTTGTGCAAAGCTTCAAGGAATGTCCATAGACCAGGGCATTGGGCCTTTTTTTGCCCCAGGAACAGCTTTTGACCAGATCTTAGAAAAATATAGCCAAAAAAAGCTAGAAAATTACTCTTTTTACATTAGAGTCAATGGAGCACATCCATGAAAGTGTTGGACTTCAGTTAGAGCGAGTCCTATTCTGCGCTGTGAGTGGCCAGCTGTGCATTTGGGGCATGGCTTAGCGAAGGGTCAATTGCAGAGTTGTGTGTTCGATCCCCACACTGTGTGGATGTCTTTTCTCCCTCCTAAACAATTTCATTATGAAGAGACTTCACATGCTCACAATAAAGCATGTGTTGGAGTGTGTGTGTCCTGCTGGTGAGTCCACATCCATCAACCTATGGACGCTTATTTTCATTTCCCCAGCATCCCTAGGCAGAGGAAATTCCTGCGCTTCTCATTCAGGGGAATCCAATCTCACAAAATTCATGATGGCTATTTCTGATGTGTGTCAAGCAAGTCACAGACTCTTAAGTGCTTCAGAACTCTAACTTAAACGCTTTGCTTCAAAAAACTTCCTCGCACTTGTATTTTGTAGGGAAAATTACTAAAGAGGAAGTGATTATGTGAGTAACTATTGCTTTTATGACTGAGATCCATTTCAGCACCAGCCACTATCAAAGTAATCTGGCCTCCTATTGCCAACCACTGCCATAGACTGTTTAAAACAAGTGGCTATATATACTCTGATGTCACCCATTGGTTTTTGGACTGCCGTTTTGAAGCCTCAAGTTTGGCATTTTGGCCATCGCAATCTTGTTTTATTTTTTTTGGAACCAGAAGTGACCATATTTGGATGAGAGTAGCGCAACCCAAATGCTGAACAAGACCTTTTTTTTAGGCTACCAAAATGTTACAATTTACTTTTAATGAACTGAAAACACACTGTGAAAGGGTCAAAGTTGTTGCACCCAAAAACAAATTCACAGCTTGTTAAATGTTCATAGTGTAGTGAATACAATTCACCCCTATCCTGACTGACAGATAGCCGTGGTAGCGACTTCACAATCACAATCACAAGGTAGCCACACATACCCTGCTTTAGCCTCTATTTTACTCTTAATGGGACCATAATTTACCAAATAAACATCATGCAGTATTGAAGAAGACAAAGTGATCCAGACCATAAACTCATCAGGAAAGTGTTTACTGACGTAATAAATCAAGTGAAAAGTCATTGGGTGCAATCAGACTAATATTTGCAACCAGTGGAGTCGTCCTCTGCTGGCCATTAGAAAGAATGCAGGTTTAAGGCACTTCCATAATGGCTTCACTTGCCAGCCACTTTGCTGAGACTCAGTTACACATATTAGATTCAGAGAGAGGCTGAGAAAGATGTGTCTTCCAGACGTTGTGTGTGTACACAGTACTAAAAACAACTTTTAGTTTTATTAACCTTCTACCATAAAGGAATAGTTCACCCAAAAATGCTACGTCCACATAGCACACACAGGTCAGTGCTGAATGAAAATAGGCTGGTCTATCTTTGCCCTTTTTCCCCAACTTTAAACTAGAAATCTCTACATGTATACTGTTATTAAAGTACTTTTAGAATCTGTGACTTAACTTAGTTGAAATATAGCTGGATGAAGAACGTTTAATCAAATGTAGTTTCTTACCACATGTCAAAAATGGTTTTATACCATCATTCATCATTTACATACATACATCTGAACTCTGTGCTGGTGTCTTTCTCAGAGGAGCTACTGAAGGTGGAAGGGATGGACATAAAGTTTGAGGAGCCAATCACTGCTGCCCACCTCATTGACGCAGCCAGACTGGGGAACTCCAAAGCAGACGCTGTCCTGAACAAGGGTCAGAGCACAAAGCAAGCACACACACAAATCTGAAATTCAAACTGTACAGTGTTTTAGTTCACTGTAAAAGAATGATGTGGCTCCAGCTGTGCTGGAACATTACAAACGGAGCATGGAGATACATCACAATGATTCAGTACTATTAAATCTTCTATAAAAGCAAGAAAAAAATCTAATTTCTCTGTCTTCATCTTCCCCTCTCCAGCTTCCACAGCGCTAGGTGTGGGCATCATTAACATCCTCCACATAGTGAACCCCTCACTGGTGATTCTGTCTGGAGTGTTGGCCTCTTACTACGAAGCCCCAGTGCAGCACATCATCTCACAGAGAGCCCTCGTCTCTGCCCGGAAAACAGAAGTTGTCTCATCAAAGTTGGAGGAACCTGCTTTACTTGGAGCAGCTAGCATGGTGTTAGACTATGCAACCAGAAGGATCTACTGAAGAATATAGTCCCGATTAATTGAGGACTGCTACCAACAGGCGGACTGCAAAACTGAAAGTAGTAGCTGTGCTGCCCGGATAGATAAATAAGCATATTATGTAGGAGAAACATTTTTAAGGCTAGCCTGAAAAACAACGCGCTCAGACCGTCATTTCAGTGTTAAATATTGTGTGTGTATATAATTTCTTTTCGCTATTCTTTTCTTTTTCTTGTTGACCTTAGTGAATCGTGCCTTCACCAGGCCAAATGTTGGCCAGTTTCCAACCTGGATACATCATGTTGCAAGTGGGTCCATTGCACGGGCCAGAAATCCTACCACTTCTATGTAGTCATGTTTTATTAAGTCCCAGAGCTTATTTGATCAAGTGAGCATCAACTCTTGAGTAAACTGCAAATACATTGTAGAAGTCACTCAGTCTACTTGTAATGTGATGTGGGTCGATGGAAAAGTCTTCAGATGTGACCAAATTATTGCTGAAACATTCTCCTGTTGCCTACTCTCAATTCTCCCTAATATCTTACGGCCTCACTTTTTCTGTAAATCTTGTATCGAGTTTTCAGTCTAAATCTTTATCTATTTTGGGATAAGGCTATCTGTCAAGTTAATGTTACAGTTCCACATTTTGTTATAAATTTAATTATTTAAGGTCTTAATGAAGTGTTTTAATATGATGCTTATTGTATGGTGGTCTGGAAAGCTTTATGGGTGATAAACGGTTAATAAATGTCGAAATACTAAACTGGCTTGTATTAATGAAATGTTAAAGCAGGCACTGCTTTAGCTTAATGGCTGTTAACAGTGAATTTGCCTGAATCAGGTGAAGTTTTTTTACATGTCATTGCCACAGACCTTATGACTGTTTGGACCGAGTTTTGAAGTTTTCTTCATGCCTTCCAAAGACCTATTGTATCTCAAATATGTTTACATGGTTTGTATGTACTATTAAATACAGGATTGTACATTACATGCTAAATGAAATGTTTGGAAGAATTTCTTTGTAATTTTATTGATGTCCAAATGCGCTGTCTTGTGTATACACAAAACTGACTTAATTTAAGTCAAGTGAAGAAGATATGGATGGCCCTGTAGAGTAGAAATTCTGTTTACACTGTTGCAAAAGCCCAGTCTAGTGTTGCCCTCTTTAGGTGTCAATGCAGGTTTTTAGTCGTCTACACTGTAAAGTTGCAAATGTTGAGTGCACAGAAATTCAAATGACAAATTCCTTTTAATACAGCGTCAAAATACATGTAAAACATACTGTATGATTAGTGGTAAACGGTAAGAGTCATGTTGTTACAGCCTGCATGACTTCTGCATTACATGTGAGAAGATAAACAAAGCTGAGATTGGAGCGATATGCTTCTGGGGGTCCAGTAGAGTAAAGAAGTTGACTGAGTTGCTGTTTACAAAATAAATCATTGCAAATTTTACTTTTGAGGGACTGCAACATTTCTCAGTGGTCAATCAAATTAGTCTCCTGGATAGTTAAACTGAATGAAAAACCCAGTCACTAAGTGTTGTTAATGGGATGTGTACTGCATGGGACTTCAACTTAAGAACCATGGCCACCCACTGTAACCCTTCCGTTTTCTGCACTTTATGTCCTACAGTCCCCTCCAAAAGTATTGGAACAGTAAGGCAAATTCCTGGTTTTGTTGTTCACTGAAGACATCTGGGTTTAAGATCAAAAGATGAGTATGAGACGAGTTCAGAATTTCAGCTTTTATTTCCTGGTATTCACATCTAGATGTGTTAAACAACTCAGGACATATCACCGTTTGCATTAGACCACAGCATTCTTAGGTGAGCAAAAGTAATGGAACAAATAATCTTAAAGTCAATAACCTTTAATATTTGGTGGCATAACCCTTGCTTGCAATAACTGACTCAAGCCTGCGACCAATCGACAAACTGTTGCATTTTTCATTTGTGATGCTATTCCAGGCTTTTACCACAGCTTCTTTCACTTCTTGTTTGTTTCGGGGTGTTTCTCCCTTCAGTCTCCTCTTAAGGAGGTGTAATGCATGCTCTATTGGGTTAAGGTCAGGTGATTGACTTGGCCAGTCTAAAACCTTCCACTTTTTCCCCCTGATGAAGTCCTTTGTTTTGTTGGCAGTGTGCTTTGGGTCATTGTCCTGCTGCATGAAAAACATCCTCTCGATTCGTTTCAATGCATTTCTCTGTAAATTGGCAGAAAATGTTTCTGTACACTTCTGAATTAATTCTGCTGCTACCATCATCAATGAATATTAATGAGCCTGTTCCAGAAGCAGCCATGACATTACCTCCACCGTGCTTCACAGATGAGCTTCTATGCTTCGGATCATAAGCAGTTCCCTTCTTTCTCCACACTTTGGCCTTTCCATCACTTTGGTAGAGATTAATCTTGGTCTTATCAGTGCATAAGATCGTGTTCCAGAACTTTTGCGGCTCATCTTTGTACTACTTTGCAAATTTCAATCTGGCCTTCTGATTCTTCCTGCTTAGGAATGGTTTTATCTTGTGGTGTGGCCTCTATATTTCTGCTCTCTGAGTCTTCTTCGAACAGTGGATTGTGATCCCTTCACCCCTGCTCTGTGGAGGTCGTTGGTGATGTCACTGATGTTTTGGGGGTTTTCTTCACAGCTCTCACGATCTTTCTCTCATCAACTACTGTTTTCCTTGGCCGACCTGTTCGACGTCTGTTGCTCAGTACACCAGTAGTTTCTTTCTTTTTCAGGACATTATAAATTGTGCTTGCTATGCCCAATGTTTGTCCAATAGCTCTGGTCAATTTTCCTTCTTTTCTCAGCTTGACAATGGCTTGCTTTTCTCCCATAGACAGCTCTCTGGTCTTCATGTTGGTTTATCCTCTTTAACAAGAAATGTAGTATTTATAGGTTTAAACCAAAGATGAAAACTTAGACTAGTCATGCAGAGCTATTTAATGTTTGGACAATCAACCTAAAAGGCAACACCTGGGCAACAAGAAACATCTGTCAGTCACATGTTCCAATAGTTTTGCTCACTTGAAAAATGGGTGGGTTCAAACAAAGGATGGTTTGTCCTGAGTTGTTTAACACATCTAGATGTGAATACCAGGAAATAAAAGCTGAAATTTTGAACTCTTGTCTCATACTCATCTTTTTATCTTAAACCCAGATGTCTTCAGTGAACAACAAAAACAAAGGAATTTGCCTTAAAGTTCCAATACTTTTGGAGGGGACTGTATATCAACAGGTTGGAGCTCCAGTAGACATGCGGTATCTGAATCTTTCACTGTAGTCACTGCTGCTTTTTGTTAAAGTCAGTCTATTGTCACTTCAGTCCATGCAGTATTGCACCACTCCCTCATGCAATTTACAGGTACTGGTCATATAATTAGAATATCATCAAAAAGTTTATTTATTTCAGTAATTCCATTCAAAAAGTGAAACTTGTATAATGTATACATTCATTCCACACAGACTGATATATTTCAAGTGTTCATTCCTTTTAATTTTGATGATTATAACTGACAACTAAAGAAAACCCCAAAATCAGTATCTCAGAAAATTAGAATATTGTGAAAAGGTTCAATATTGAAGACACCTGGTGCCACACTCTAATCAGCTAGTTAACTCAAAACACCTGCAAAGGCCTTTAAATGGTCTCTCAGTCTACACAATCATGGGGAAGACTGCTGACTTGACAGCTGTCCAAAAGACGACCATTGACACCTTGCACAAGGAGGGCAAGACACAAAAGGTCATTGCTAAAGAGGCTGGCTGTTCAGAGCTCTGTGTCCAAGCACATTAATAGAGAGGCGAAGGGAAGGAAAAGATGTGGTAGAAAAAAAGTGTACAAGCAATAGGGATAACCGCACCCTGGAGAGGACTGTGAAACAAAACCCATTCAAAAATGTGGGGGAGATTCACAAAGAGTGGACTGCAGCTGGAGTCTGTGCTTCAAGAACCACCACACACAGACGTATGGAAGACATGGGTTTCAGCTGTTGCATTCCTTGTGTCAAGCCACTCTTGAACAAGACACAGCGTCAGAAGCGTCTTGCCTGGGCTAAAGACAAAAAGGACTGGACTGCTGCTGAGTGGTCCAAAGTTATGTTCTCTGATGAAAGTAAATTTTGCATTTCCTTTGGAAATCAAGGTCCCAGAGTCTGGAGGAAGAGAGGAGAGGCACAGAATCCACGTTGCTTGAAGTCCAGTGTAAAGTTTCCACAGTCAGTGATGGTTTGGGGTGCCATGTCATCTGCTGGTGTTGGTCCACTGTCCACTGTGTTTTCTGAGGTCCAAGGTCAACGCAGCCGTCTACCAGGAAGTTTTAAAGCACTTCATGCTTCCTGCTGCTGACCAACTTTATGGAGATGCAGATTTCATTTTCCAACAGGACTTGGCACCTGCACACAGTGCCAAAGCTACCAGTACCTGGTTTAAGGACCATGGTATCCCTGTTCTTAATTGGCCAGCAAACTCGCCTGACCTTAACCCTATAGAAAATCTATGGGGTATTGTGAAGAGGAAGATGCGATACGCCAGACCCAACAATGCAGAAGAGCTGAAGGCCACTATCAGAGCAACCTGGGCTCTCATAACACCTGAGCAGTGCCACAGACTGATCGACTCCATGCCATGCCGCAGTAATTCAGGCAAAAGGAGCCCCAACTAAGTATTGAGTGCTGTACATGCTCATACTTTTCATGTTCATACTTTTCAGTTGGCCAACATTTCTAAAAATCCTTTTTTTGTATTGGTCTTCAGTAATATTCTAATTTTCGGAGATACTGAAATTTGGGATTTTCATTAATTGTCAGTTTTAATCATCACAATTAAATGAAATAAACATTTGAAATATATCAGTCTGTGTGTGATGAATGAATATAATATCCAAGTTTCACTTTTTGAATGGAATTACTGAAATAAATCAACTTTTTGATGATATTCTATATGACCAGCACCTGTATATTTGTGCCCTGTGAGTCAGTAAGTGCAGCCATATTTGGTTATGTTCCTCACTTGTTCAGTTATTTTGATGTTCTGAATTGTTATGCCTGCATTAGAATTATCATTAAAAAAAATTGTCATCTTTTTTATCATTAATTCCCATCAATAAGTTATTTTGAGTGTGAACACAATTTAAATGGCAGGAAAATTAGGCGCCAGGTTATACTCAAGTCCTACATCTCCATATAAGTCCTAAAACATAAGTCATATGAGATTTTACAGTTATGTTCAAAGAAGATCAACAAGGAGCCACACGTTTGTTGTGCATTACTTCTGTAATGTAAGCAACAAAAACAACCCACTACTACTAAAACAACTGGATGCATGTTTTGTTCCTTGTGGTTCTTGCATTCAGCAACACAGGTTTACAGCTCGGAGCAAAAGGCTAGAGCTTCTAGTGTTTTTAGTTGTGGTAAGTCCTAGCTTTGAAGTACAGATCCCTCCTAACAGTGTGTGGTGAGTCACAGTGATATTGTTGTGGTGTTTTAAAACTAATATATTTGCTCCAGCTGCATACCTTCAGAGTCAATTGCCTGTCTGTCACATGATCCCTTTGAGACTGTCAGAGCTGTTAATAATTAACCACCATGACATTGTGCTTGGGCTGGATACAACAAAAATTGCCAGGGTGCTTCCCTACCTTTATAGCAGAGGGGCGAGGGCAAAGTGGAAGACTGAAACAGAAGTGTAAGATGGTATTATGATGAATTAAGAAAAACCTCCTGCAGTCTGCAACAGAGTACTAGAACTGAGCCATGACAGGAGTTTTGTTAACTTATAACCAAATATTGAATAATAGAATAAATGGTTTGTCAATGAGACCATGCTGAATACGTAGCCATTAAATGTCGCCTAATCGTAAACTGCGGATTTGTCTCAGCTCTGACAGCACCAGCACGTAGCAGGTCATGGGACCCGAATACATGACGCCTCACAGATGTGATTGGTTCCAGTTTGAAGGATCTGTTTTGCGATTGGTGCGCTGTACTGTCAGTCACCTATCCTGGCTTGTGATTGGTTATTCAGCCGTTTCAGCCTCGCTAGTTTTTACTGTTTTTTTTGCCGTCCTTCCCATTGAGCTTATCGGTTTCGGTCAACCGCTACACCTGCCCGCAGTTTCTCAAATTTCTCCTCTCACAAGAACACAACATGGATGATTTTGACATGCTGAACGCACCCGCCGCTGGAAACGGCGTCGGCTCGGAAGAGGACCCCGCCGCCGCGTTCTTGGCCCAGCAGGAGAGCGAAATCGCAGGGATAGAAAACGACGAAGGCTTCAGCATCCTGGACAGTGGAGAGGTCCCCTCGTCGCTGGGAGACTCCAACGGTGGGTGACTGCTGTGGTCAAGCAGAGGCAGCTTGTCTCCGTTCACCCGTAATGTTGTCTGTCTAGTTAGTTAGGGTGTGGTGTATGTTGTTAAACGATAACTGTTTCCCTAAACCTTAATCTGGTCCTAAATGGACACTGAAGTTGATGCTCTTTTAGTTAGCTAACTAACGTTAGCTGAGCTAACGAGTTAGCCGAGTAGGCTTAGCTAGCGGTAACATCAACCTGTGTCAACGTTGACAAATGAACACGTAAAAGGAAAACTCTGAATCATTAGTTAATGATTCACGCTTTCGCCAGCGTTTCTGAATTGAATGAAGCTGTGTGATTAGCTCTAGCTTCGTTCTTGGCCGTGTCATTCATTGCTTCCTATCAAGCTTGACTAACCTTAACGTTATTTGCTGGCAGCGCGACATGTTCCTAGCAATGTATGCCGGCAAACCTTACAGCCACAAGAGGAAATTCATTGAGCTTCTGACCTTTGGTCATGTCTGATTCATTTCCTCGAAGCTGTAGCTTCGTTGTGGTTTAACAGTTGTAGTTGGTCATGTGCTGACATATCACATTATGCAATCGTGTGTATGTAAATCTTGAGGATTCAGCAGGAGTGAAAGGTTCCTAGCTAGCCAAGGTCTTGTCAGTTTACAGTCCCCCCCCGCCCCGACATATTTAATTATCTGGTTTTACTGTATTTGTCTGCTTGATCTAACGTTAACAGCTATTTTTTTCTTGTGTGATTATAGACGGTGCTGTCAACGGAGAGCTTTATGGGGTAAAACTTCTTCACATTGTTTTTGTTCTCAATAATTTTGCTCTTAAATTGACTACTACTTATGTCCTCATGTTTACTTCTCTGTATTTTGTGTGTGAATAGGGGGACTTTGACAGCCTATCTGTGCCCAGTGCTCACATATGCCACACTGTCCAAACCAAACATCTTGATATTGAAAGTAGAGCTTTTACGTGCTGCTTCTTAAGAGCTGTGTAGTTTTGTCTCTACTGACTCTGCAGAGGATTGTTATCAGGACACTGATTATATTATTTTAGTAAATGGCCAAAACATGCTGCTAACGTGGCATTTGTTTCCATAAATTTACAGGATGTAAAACTGAAAGTTAGTTCACTGAAAATGCAGCTAGTAAACCATCATTGCACAGAAAACAGTATATGTGTACAAGCAGCTACAAGTACGGTAGGTTAATGTACGGCAGCTTGATGGCCAGAACTATAAAATATAAAACCTAAGTAATAATAAACCAGAATTGTCCTTCAACTAAACTGGTGAGATTATAAAGATGTACTAATGGGAGGTGATTTGCTCCAGTGTTTTTAATCCTCATTTTATGCATCAGTTCTGCAGGGTTTTTTCTTTCAGCACAGTAGGAGTGTGATTTCAGATCTAACTGCAGAAGGTTGGAATATCTGGCTGTAGTTCTGCTCCAACTTCCTTTTCCTGTGCTGTCGTTGCAACATTGCTGTCTTTTCCACTGTCAGCACTTCTATCTGGTAGTGAGAGAAGCTAAGCTGATAAAACTCAGTGGGCCAAATGTAGTTTTTAATAAAGCCTCTCAAACAACATACAGCTAACTCTTAAGAACATACCGTATGTGCTGTATGCACATTGGATTCAGGACAAAAAAATACTGGTGACAATAGGTGGTTCCAAATGTACTTGCAACTTTCAGATTGAAATATGACTAATTCAAGACGAGATACTGAATGTGTCTTCACCATGTATGATTGAAATGATCAAATATTTTTTGTTACGAAGTACCACAATGATCTGCCTGACATCACCTCCCTTGTTTCTCAGGAAAGCAACGGCCCATCAGACGCCTATGCAGCAATCTCCAATGCAGACCGGCTGCAGGCCGAACCTGAGAGCCTACGCAAGTGGAGGGAGGAGCAAAAAGAGCGGCTGGAGTTGCTAGGTAAGCACAAACCAGAGGAAAAAGGGAACAGGATAGATAATGGCTGTCTGAGATGTGACAATTGTATGTAAAGCAAATGCATCCTTCCTTAATTCCTAATTTTCCTCCAATGTGTCCTGATGACCATATCATTGTCATCTGCCTCTTCACTACTTTATCACACCTGTCCTCACTCATCTCCCTCCCCAGATGATAACTCTCGCAAGCAGGAGTCAGAGTGGAAAGAGAAAGCCAAGGTGGAGCTGGAAGAGTGGCACGCCAGGCAGAACGAGCAGCTGGAGAAAACCAAAACCAATAACAGGTACTGGCTTCATAGAAGGGTAGAATAAGGACACAAGGATCAGTGGAAATGAGGGAGGGCTGACATTACCATGAATTAGAACACATTCACTGTTTTTGTCTAGACAAGATGATTGTATGGATTCCAACCAGCAGTCTTTATATAATATTTCAAAAGGGCAGTTTCTAAATAATGGCAGCAATCTTGGATTCAGCCACAGGTGAGCATATAACCGAATACTAAGATTTGGCTGAGTGTGTAGGCCAGGGGTCAGCAAATAAGTCTGACATCGGGCCAAATTTTTTTTTCAAGACATTACATGATCGACCTTTTTCCACATGCTCGCAATAAAGCATGTGCCGCAGTGCGTGTGCATCCCGGGATTTGAGCCGCATTCATAAACCTATTGACACTAATTTTCATTTTGCTGAAGAAATTCAGGGGAATCCAATCACACGTTTACAGAGGTGTGTCAAGTAAGCCAGAGAGTCTTTCGAATGTCCTTCAGAACCTTTCAAAGTAAAAGCTCTCAATGAACTCAACATAAAGCATTGCTTCAAAAAACATTCTTGCGCTTTTATTTTGTAGGCACAATAACATATCACTATACTTAGATCTATTTCAGCATCAGCCGCTATCAGTTTATTTATTTTATATTTTTCTGCTATCAAAGCAATCTGGCCATGGGCCAGATATTATTGCTGGCGGGCCAGTTCTGGCTGCCTATTGCCGACCACTGGTGTATGCTCTCTAGCAGGAGAAAAAACGGGTCCACCTTTGGGTTGAGTTTTAAGGAAGACAATGTGTTGGCGTCACGTCACTGGTCCAATCTGTTGTTAGCCCAAACCCTCCAGTTGGAAATTCATTTGTTCACACTTGTGGACAGTAATGTGAAAATAAGCCTTTTTCTTTGAGGGACAACTTGCATTGCTACGAGAGGGTGACACCGGTGTGGATTTCTCATGTCGCATCCCACTCCCACAAAAATAATTCTGTCTCCATGGGAGAGTAAAAAACAAAAATTGTTGTCCCAGAAGAATGACTCCCAAAAAAATAGTATTTATTCATATTAGAACAAAAAATCAATAAAAATATATATAAAAGGATGTACAATACGCCGCATGGCTGGCACGTTTGTGTCCACCACTCAGTTTTTTCAGTCTCAGTTTCTCCTGCTCTGTAACGTATCCCTGCTGCCCTATGAATAATAAACTACCTGCTGCTATGACTCCCTACTCATCTGGCAAACCCGTGTTTGCTAGATGGATGGTCTTGGTCTGGCAAAGGTCAATAAGTATAAAAAAATATGGTGCATATTTTGCTGAGTTAGGGCTGCAACTAACAAAAATTTTCATATTTCCTCTTTTCCAACCTAATCAAATAATGAGTTGGTTTAGACTTTAAGATGTATTAAAAAGATCTCCCTTCATTTCAACTGTTTTGCTTGATCAATAGTTAAAAAAAAACAAAAGTATTTCATTAATGATGTGAACCAAAAATAAGCAAATGAGTCCTTTGCTGTCATTTGCATAAATTGTGGTGTCTTCGATTGATTACTTAAACTCATTAGCTTATATTTGCAACATATACTGATATTCTCTCACCTGTGCAAATTGTTTCAAATGTGAAGACTGATGTTGTCTGGCAGAACACCAGAGCCGTGTAATTAAAGATTTCAGGGGGCGGACACGATCAGCTGAGAGCCTCCCTGAGCCTTTGAAAACCCCTGACACTGCATTTAGAAGTCCTTCCAAAAATCTGAGCCTTTGATTATATGCCTTAGCATATTATTGTGTGGTAACCTATAATGCTTGTGTTTCCATCCTCTTCTCCCTTTTATTGCTGTCTCTCTTCTCTGCTGCCTTCTTGCTGCTCTGTCGTTTGGGCGGATGTTTGTCCAGGGTGCTGGATGAAGACTTCTACAAGCAGCCCTTCTCTGAGCTCATTGGTTATGTGTATGTTGCTCCAACTAACATCCTCCCTTTGTTATGATTTTTACAAAAAAAATTTGCTTTGTTTTACCTCCATTGTCATCAACTCCCAGCATCCAACCATTTACCTCATACTCATCTCATTAGTTAGGGCATTAGTTTACCTCGCCTTGTGTAGCCATGTTTTTAGTTCTTCATTTTGAACTACTTTGATTTCTGATTGTTACGCTCATCATGTAGCTTGAAGTTTTCCAAACAGAAACTGCAGTAATAATACCCATACCCCCTCCCATATATCTGCATGTCATTTGTGAGTGGATACCTGTCAGGACATTTCAGTAAATAGATTGACTGCATGCCACTACATGCACACTCCTCAGTCACAACCATGGAGAGCTAATTAAGTCTTTCATAACTGTCTGTGTTTTCTGCTCCATTATTCACTTCCACACTTTCTCTTCCATGTCATTTCAGCAAAACATTTTGCAAATACATTACACACGTTTCCAACAATTAACACGTACATTAATTGTATGAACTCTCTTAGACAGAAATGTTTCACCTTTTTATTAAAGTGATTTACCCCCAAATTAATCTACAAAATATTATTCAGTATTAGGATGCTTATAGGTTTGTTTGAAGCAGTTGTGTGTGTGTGTGTGTGTGTGTGTGTGTGTGCGCGTGCACGTGTGTGTGCGCGTGCACGTGTGCGTGCATAAGTGGACCGAACGATTTCCCTTTATTTTAACTTCGAGAGTTGTTAATGAAATAAGACGTGATTTTACTGCACTGTGTGCAGAGTTTGACATTGTGGAGGTTCCTGCCTCTGAATCTCTACAAGTCAAACGTCCTAAGTACTAACTTCCCGTATCGCCAGCCCTAAGCACTCATTTATCTAAAAATGAGGATGTGTGCAGAATGGGATGGTGCCAAACTAAACCACACTACACGTGAAACCGAGTTAAAAGTCTCTGTAGTTTTAATAATGTGTGAAAGTTGTAATGCTTTATAAACTCATCTATGCTCAGTAAGGTGGGTCTCATTGCTGAACAATATGTAGTAATATCTAATAGTTATTAGGTGTTTTTTGTCATAGTTGCATCCCTTAAACTACAGCTGTTTTCATTTTATGTATTTAACTAAATACAATTGGACTTAAATTCTAGGTATGTGCAGGATTCAGAATGTCCAGTTATTAAATATTTTTTGCCTATTGTGTTTTTATAGGCAAAAGAAAAGTCATTAATAGTTTTAATGTATTAATCACCTCTTCAGAAAAGCACTTCTCCAGCTTTGTTTCCATCATTCTGGTTCTTCAATTCATTTCAAGGTAACATTTAATGAGTCCAGCCCTCACATGTCCCCAGTGTCTGCAAAAATTTTATTGATAACACCACTGGTCATGTCATGGGTTACACAACTGCTTCAAACTGAACTGTGTTCATGCTTTATTAGAATGTTAGCTGCTCTGTAGCTACTGCTGTCCAATGGGATGACATGCTAATTTGCCCAGCTAGCTATCCAGTAGCTTGAGTTGTGCAGCCTTTGGTTTTGCAGGATATCAGATTAGTTGGGAGTTTCAATTAGCCTGTACACGTTTTATTTTATTATCTTCTTATTCATCAGCTTGTAATTCAAACTTGCCATCAGTTATTATTTTTTATTTGGTGAGAATAGTTTGACATGTTCCTTTGTTCCTAGGCTTATTTTTGGTTGTTCTTTCATTAGGTTCGTATTTAAGCTTTTTTTTCCTTTTTTGCATTACATTTTCATTGTATTTGTGACTTAGTATTAATGTACACATGCTCATGATTGCCAAAATGATTTTGTCATGATTAAGGAAGAGGCATTTTATTGTGTTTCAATTGTGAGCTTTGTTTATGTGCACACCTCAATGCAAATCAACAAATTCCTGGTGCTTTAGCAGTGTTTTGTGTAGAATGACAGTGAATCACAGCACTTCCTGCTTCATCATGTTGTTGGTGGAGTCTATGACGAGGACTCGATGGGCCTCATTTATAAGCATTCAATAAGAACAAATGGGCTTGAATGATGTGAATACCACTTCCCACACAAACGTTGTGTGGCAAGAGAATGAACAATGTGTGAACAGTGCCTGCAAAGATTTTGCATAAAGTGGGAGCTGGCCACATCATTGCCAATGTAGTGAAATAAATTATGTTAATGTCTTGTGACATAAAATGAATAATATCGCTTGTAGGTGAAATTTTGGACATATTTACACGGGGACGTAACTGGCATGATGTGCTCGTGATTTGACTTATTAGAAAATAATATACAAGTTTTATAAATGAGATCCCAGGCCATAACATCCTTGTGTGTGTAACTGACAGAAATATGGCTTGAGGCAGTATTATATTATTAGAGAAATGTCACTAAACCAAAGGCTGCACACTAATCATTTTTGAAGAAAAAAATGAAATTTAAAAAAACTGTTGCTTTTGCATGCTTGCTTTCAACATTTGCATTTAGCTCATTTTTGTTGTCTTTCATTTCGTTCCCCTTCCCCTCTCTCTTCTAAATTCTGACTTGTGAAACTGTTTCTCCCTGTTTTCTTTTCCTATGCACCTTAAAGCACACACATTAACCATCCTTGCTACCGCCTAGACCAGTTAAGTAAAAATACAAAACCACAGAACCTCTAAATACTTTATATTTTTGACAGGGGATAGGTGTGTGTGTGTGTGTGTGTGTGTGTGTGTGTGTGTGTGTTAGATCATTATATGTTGCATAGATACTTAGTTTACTATCCCAACAGTTAGATCCACTGCCTAGATAGAGGCTTGTTATAATGCCCCTTCTGTGATGTTGTGGTCCTTCTAGTCCTTTTTGTGTATTTGTAGTTGGTTGCGACTGTGAATGTTCATTGGCTTCTCATCCCCATTTTGCTTTGTGTATTGTGTTGTAGGTAGTAGCTGAGTTTGTGCTGGCAGGTTGGGCGGGGTATAGAAAAATAACATTTTAACTAGAAAAGTACCATGGCAGTGGAATTATTACTGTTTGTGGGTGGGGTGTGATGAGGGGTTATATTTGTTTAGCCATAATCTGTGGCTTACATCTCAAAATGGCTTGTGAAAGTGGGACTGATCCATTTTCAGTTTCAAGTTTTGTCTTTTTGTCTTCCGTTTTTGTTTTTTAAACTTGTTTTAACTTCAAGTGGTAAGCCCTGTAGTGTAAATGTCCACTTTTTGGTTTAATAGATGGTTTAAAAAACGCCTCAATCTTCACCAATAAGACATTAATTGATCAGTTCCACAATTAGGACACATGAAATCTAAGTGAATGCATTCTTTGACACACCTCCAAATAGCCTGCTTTTCAGCTGCAGCACAATGCACGGCTAAAGCCTAGCAGTGCTTCCAGTTCTTTTGGGCTTGGTTAAAAAAACAGAACTTGTCATTGTTCCTTTTTTTTTTTTTTCCTTTTTATTAAGGACAAGTATATAGATGAGCTCATCATCCCTATACTTGGTTCTTGGTGCGTAAAGAGGATGTCGTAAGGGTGTGGGCAAACTCCCCTCCCCCAGTTCTGTACAGAACTGCATTTTTAACCAACCAAAAATGCTTATTAGACCTTAAAATTACTTTGTTAAGCTTTGGTTTGTTTGTTTTTATTTGGATTTCTCATCAGTTTTGTGGACGTACCTACCTTTACTGTTGTGGAGAGTCGAAAATAAAGGTGACTGTAATATGTAAGCGGAGTTGGGGGCATGCCACACGTAATGAAACTGTTGTAGCTTGTTTCACTTTGTGGGTGTAAAGACAGACGGATGTCCATTTCTATGTGGTGATTGGACTGTCTTGTCCTGAGGTAGACTCTGCTGAATTAACAAAGTCCCACCAGCCGGTGTATTGAGATTTATACTCAATAGATTGGGAGGGTACTTCTCAAATCTTGATGTCAGACTGAAATTTTAGATTGAATTGAATCTGACAGATGCATCAGTCATGCCAGCATCTAAGCATCTGGGAGGCATGACTAAGTTTTCCACCAGAACGTGTGTGTGTGTGTTGGTGATCAGCAGAGGACTTTCTCAGGGCTATACGTGTATTTTGGTGTATCTTAACCACTTCCTCCACTGATTGTTTCCTATTCCATGTCCTTTCCTTCTCCTCTTCCCTGTTGCATGTAGGGCGGCTGAGGAGGCCATGATTTCAGATCTGGACGAGAGCAACCCCGGCACGGAGTGGGAGCGGGTGGCTCGACTCTGTGACTTCAACCCCAAGTCCAGCAAGCAGGCCAAAGACGTGTCTCGCATGCGCTCCGTCCTCATCTCCCTGAAGCAGTCCCCACTAGTCCGCTAGGCAGCCTAGCCTGCTCAGGGTGTCATTCCATATAATCCTGTCTCATGACGTACCAACCAACCCTACTACCGATGTCCCACCATCTGCATTCTGAAGACAAGGGGACTTGCATTCCTTCTGTCCATACCGGTTTGCCATGCACAGCCCTGTGGAAGGATATAGCCAGTGGTCCTACCCTTATCTATCTCCTCCTGGCAGGGCTGTAGAGATTAGCTTTGAAACACCAGCTCACCATTGTCTGCCCCCTGAAAGGTTTTCATCTGTGTGACCTCTTCCGCAGACAAATCAAGACCTTGTAATTCCTCTTTCTTGTTGTTTAATATCCCGAGATCAACTCCTATTAGATCGACACAAGTTGTCATGGTCTGTGGTATTGTGTAACACTTGTGTAAGGGTGGTGAGTTTGGACACTAAAAGGGAAAGGTTCATGTTTGTTTGTACAACCTGCTTCACATGGCCCCCAAACAATATCATTCCCATGATACTGTACTCTTAACTTAACTGTCCTCTGACCTATGAGGGTTGATTGATGTTAGCTGGTTTCATTAACCCTTTGCCCTCCAACACATCGCCTCATGTTTTCCCATCCTTGCAAAAAAAGTATCTTCCTAAAAAAAAAAAAAAAAAAAAATAAAAAAAAATATATATATTTTTTTTTTAGGACCAAACTCTTAAAACAAAACTCCAAATTCAGTGTGTACTTTGAACAGTGTGTGTAGAGCCTGCTTGTGGCATATTGTGTTAAATTTTCCAATCTATGCATTTCCTTTTGAAAAGCCTCTCCCCTCTCCAGTCAGGAACTGTCCAAGTCATTACAATAATGTATACTAATTATGTGACCTGTTTGTATGTGCGTTTAAACCTCAACTGTGTGTGTGTGTGTGTGTGTGTGTATATGTACTCTATGCGTGTACCTATGTACATATACAGAAGGCATTATATATACAGTATATAAAATGTTTCACTGAAATTAGACCGTTGTGGTTTTAAAGATAAATACATATTAGCCAGCTGTTGCTTGACCATGCGTGTTCATTGTCCATTTGATTTCAGTATCAGTAAAAAAGTGAATGAAAGTTGTCGCTGAGTCATTCTTCAACTGCATATTAAATATAGCCGCAAGCGTCAACAATTGGGATTGAAGCAAGTCATGAAAAATGCAACACTTGAAATTTTCAGACCAGATCCAGATGACTTGGGAGATTAAAATGATGAAAGAATTTGGACTGTAAGCCAAGCTTTATTTGAAATAATTTTGGAAACGCAAACTTTATATAAAAATATTTTTATAACCTTGAGATCAGCTAATGTCATATGTGCCTGACTAGTAGGTGACATGTTAAACCCACCTGCAAAATTTTTTGTTTTAAGGTTTATGATGCACAAACACTTTATATTTTTATTTTTGATATCTGCCATCTAGAGAATTTTTGTGTTTGTTTTGGTCAACGTTTGAACAAAGACTTGTGGAGATTGTCACAACCTGGCTCAAGGGCCATGACAAAAGAGGTAATGAGGCAGCATAAATGATCAAAAAGTGATTTATTTAACAAAAGGGTGAACTAAACATAACTATTTAAATGGGCATGTGTAACATAAATAAACACAAAGCAAGATGTGGCAGTCGGGGTGATGGTTGACGTCTGGATTGCAGAAAAGAGAGGGTAGTTTGTCATAAAGCTCCACCTTTATGTCCCCTGACATAAAGGTGGCGATATCTCTAGACCATGCTCTATGATGTTTACGGAAGCCCAACAATTCCCACCAAGAGCAGCAGTAGGCGACAGAGGCAAGGAAGAAAAGAAAAGAAAAACTTCCTTTTAAGAAGGAGAAACCTCGAGCAGAACCATGGCTCACGGTGGGTGGCCATCTGCCTCGACCGGTTGGGGGTGAAGGAAGGAGAGAGAGAGAGGGCAAGAGAGGAACAGAGAGAAAAAGAGAGGGATGGAAGGAGAGAGAGGGGAGGGAGGCAGCCTACACAATATACACACAGAGGTACAGACAGTAAAGGTGATGTTGCTATAGACTAAATGAAAAATGGTATAGATATGTATAGTAGTGTTAATGATAACAATCGTAATGTTAATGATTATAATAACAATAATAACAATAGGACTAGTAACAATAGTTGTTGTAGCAGAGGGTGTCGAGCAGGAACACGGAGGCAGCAGGTGACCCGCAGCCACAGATCCAGACTCCACAGCTCCAGAGCCAGAAACACCTGCAGGAAGTGATAGGAGGAGAGAGGAGAGGGACGAGAAAGCACAAGACTACTGGAAAGGGAAGAAGTTGTGTTAGTAACATGCAATAATGGGATGAGGTTCCATACAGAGGGAGAGAAAGTAGAGGAGAGAGGAGCTCAGTGCATCATAGGAAATCCCCCGGCAGTCTAGGCCTATAGCAGCATAACTAAGGGATGGTTCAGGACTCACCTGAGCCAGCCCTACCTACAAGCTTTATCAAAGAGGAAAATCTTAAGCCTACTCTTAAATGTGGAAATGGTGTCTGCCTCCTGACCCCAAACTGGAACCTGGTTCCACAGGAGAGGAGCTTGATAGCTGAACGCTCTGGCTCCTAGTCTACTTTTGGAGACTCTAGGAACCACAAGTAACCCTGCATTCTGGGAGCGCAGTGCTCTGGTGGGGTAGTAAGGTACTATGAGCTCTTTAAGATAAGATGGTGCCTGACCATTAAGAGCTTTGTAGGTAAGAAGAATGATTTTAAATTCTATTCTGGATTTTACTGGAAGCCAATGCAAAGAAGCTAAGACAGGAGAAATATGATCTCTTTTCCTGGTTCCTGTCAGAACACCTGCTGCAGCATTCTGGATCAGCTGAAGAGTCTTAATGGACTTTTTCGAGCAGCCTGATAATAAGGAATTGCAGTAATCCAGCCTAGAAGTAACAAATGCATGGACTAGTTTTTCTGCATCATTTTTAGACAGGATGTTCCTGATTTTCGCAATATTACGTAGGTGAAAAAAGGCGGTCCTTGAAATTTGCTTAATGTGAGACTTAAACGACATGTCCTGATCAAAGATAACTCTAAGATTCCTCACACTGGTGCTGGAGGCCAGGGCGATGCCATCCAGGGAAACTATTTCTTTAGATAATGCGTCACGGAGGTGCTTAGGCCCCAGAACAATAAATTCAGTTTTATCTGAGTTTAACATTAGAAAATTACAGGTCATCCAGGTTTTAACATCCTGAAGGCACATCTGAAGTTTAGCTAACTGATGAGTTTCATCTGGTTTGATCGATAGATATAACTGAGTATCATCTGCATAACAATGAACGTTTATGGAACATTTCCTGATAATATTGCCTAAAGGAAGCATATATAAAGTGAAGAGGATTGGTCCGAGGACAGATCCTTGTGGAACTCCATGACTAACTTTGGCATGCATGGAGGACTCATCGTTAACATGTACAAACTGAAATCGGTCTGATAAATAGGACTTAAAGCAGCTTAGAACGGTTCCTTTAATGCCAATGAAATGTTCCAGTCTCTGCAATAGGATCCGATGGTCAATGGTATCAAATGCAGCACCAAGATATAATAAAACCAGTACAGAGACAAGTCCTTTGTCTGATGCAATGAGGAGGTCATTAGTAATTTTCACCAGTGCTGTCTCTGTGCTATGATGAACTCTAAATCCTGACTGAAAATCCTCAAATAAACTATTGCTCTGTAGAAAGTCACACAGCTGTTTAGCAACTGCTTTCTCCAGGACCTTAGAGAGAAATGGAAGGTTAGATATAGGTCTATAGTTGGCTAAAACATCCGGATCAAGTTTGGGCTTTTTCAGAAGAGATTTAATTACAGCGACTTTAAAGTACTGTGGTACATAGCCTGTTGATAGAGATAGATTGATCATATCTAGTATAGAAGTGCTGACTAAGGGTAAAAAATCTTTATGCAACCTAGTCGGGATGGGGTCTAAGAGGCATGTTGATGGTTTAGATGAAGAAATTATTGAAGTTAGTTGGTAAAGATTGAGGGAAGCAAAACAGTCTAAACATGTATCTGGTTCTACAGCTGTTTCTATGGTTCCTGAGTTTAGAGATAAGTTGGTGCCAGTTAAGGGCAGGTCTTGGTGAATTTTGTTTCTATTAGTTAGAATTTTATCATTAAAGAAGCTCATGAAATCGTAACTACTGAGAGCTATGGGAATACTTGGCTCAATAGAGCTGTGACTCTCTGTCAGCCTGGCTAAAATGCTGAAAAGAAACCTGGGATTACTTGTGTAAAGTAAAATAAAAGTGAAGTTGATTTAGTTTTTCTCCCTGGTACTCATCTCAGGACCTCCCAGAGTTTCCCCAATACCTGGAGGATGTGAGCCTGTGCAGGGTTTAAGGACTGATGATAGTATCAAGGCTGGCCCCATCACCTACCGTCACTCTCTTCAAATTATTGCTGGACTGTTAGGACAAAGCAGCAAACCACTCCTTCCTCCAGCACCATAAAAGGGCCCTGTTGTCACTTTCAGATATTTACATCATGATTTATGGTAACCAACAACATCTTGTAATTGTGTCTCTGCTTTTGTGCATAAAGAAATTGAAATACATGGGTGACCTGTACTAGACACAGCTCCAACCTGTCGACCCTACCCGGGTCACCCACCTTTAGTAGCACTGTCAATTCTTTATCCCTGCAGACATGTTTCAACATTAAGACAGTGTGAGGGATGTGTGTGGACAGATTGATTCATTGCTGTGTGTTGCTTGTTTTGTGGGACATGTCTGATATGTTAAGAGGAAGAGAATTCAGTCCTGCTCTGAGTTTGCCCATTTGTATCAGATGTGAGAAAATGTCATTAGAAGTTGCTGTTGGTATTCTGTGATGTGACAGAGGGAATATCCAGAAGGGTTTTCTTCTGAGGTGTTTGTGAATGAATGGCTTAATGTCCAAATAAAGCTTGGTGTTCATCTGACTGATGACTCCTCAGATTGTTAACTGGCAGTAAAGGCTGCTCTGGAGAAGACTGAACAAGTGCTCAGACTTTCTCATCTGTTTAGGGGAGTTTGGCCCCAGTCCCCTTTAGTAAAAAGACAAACAAAAAACTACCTGGTTTGTGTATTGATAGCTAGCTGCTTAATAACACTGATAAAACTAAATATTAACCGATGCGTCGAGTTTGATAACAAGGCTAGCTGTGTGGTCATCCATTTTCTTGTTGTGATGGTTAAGCTTTCTACAGGTGAAACTCGAAAAATTAGCATATTGTGCAAAAATTCATTTATTTCAGTAATTCAACTTAAAAGGTGAAACTAATATTATATAGACTCATTACATGCAAAGTGAGATATTTCAAGCCTTTGATATAATTTCGATGATTATTGTGTATGGCTTATGAAAACCCCAAATTCAAAATCTCAGAAAATTTGAATATTATATGAAATAAAAAAATAAAAAGGATTTTAAATACAGAAATGTCAGCCCTCTGAAAAGTATAATCATGCATATGTACTCAGTACTTGGTTTGGGTCCCTTTTGAATGAATTATTGCCTCAATGCGGCGTGGCATGGATGCAATCAGCCTGTGGCACTGCTGAGGTGTTAAGACCAGTATGCTTCAATAGCGGCGTTCAGCTCTTCTGCATTGTTCGGTCTCATGTCTTTCATCTTTCTCTTGGCAATGCCCCATAGATTCTCTATGGGGTTCAGGTCAGGCGAGTTTGCTGGCCAATCAAGCACAGTAATCCCATGGTCATTGAACCAGGTTTTGGTACTTTTGGCAGTGTGGGCAGGTGCCAAGTCCTGCTGGAAAATGAAGTCAGCATCTCCATAAAGCTTGTCTGCCGAAGGAAGCATTAAGTGCTCTAAAATGTCCTGGTAGACGGCTGCGCTGTCTCTGGACTTAATAAAGCACAGTGGACCAACACCAGCAGATGACATGGCACCCCAAACCAACACCGACTGTGGAAACTTCACACTGGACTCGTAAAGCGAGTGCAATACCACCCCCGCTGCTCTGATTCTCCGGCCAATCTCCTGCTCCATTCTCCCCTCACTCGTGAACAAGACCCCGAGGTACTTGAACTGCTTCACTTGGGGTAAGGACTCATTCCCT